TCGGAGAAGAGTATGAGACACCCTGTATATTGAAAATATAGATACTCTACAAATGGAAAATCCTAAAGAACATTACTGTACCTTTTTTTTCTGAATCTAGAAGCTTAAGAATATCGGAAACTTTTGCAGAAAGATTTCTACACATGTATGGTTAGGCTTTCTTAAATATAATAAAACCTTTTCCTGAATATAGTAAAACAAAGCAACACACATTTACGTAAGATTTATATGTATAAGGGAATATGAAAAGGATAGCGTGATTTTAAGTCACCTATTGTGAGTTGGGACTAATACATAAACGAATAACTTTACTGACGCAAAAGAAACATCAGATTATTAAAATGTCAGCTATTAGATACACAATTGTCGCTTCTTTGGGTAATTAATAATGACTACGTAAAAATAAATATGTCTGTTTAAAAATTTTTCTCAGTTTGATCTAAAATAGTGTTTGGAATTAGTAGCCAAATTTTTAAGACTACTTTCCCTTGCCACTTCAACTCACTCTAGCACGTTTAAAGTTTAAACAACGCTTCTTTAGCCTTATTGATGTAAACAAGCATCTCTAATATCAACGTCGATATATCATTATTTATGCAATCGTACAAAAAGTTTAGAAAATCGGCTTAATGAATTCTTCATTTTATGTATTCTCCATTGCCAAACATTTTGATATTTGTCAAGTATTTTCCATTTAAATTGAAAATTTTAGTAAAGAATAAGCCTATTGATGATACTATTTAAGACTACTTAAGGCCCCTTTCATTGTCTATCTCTTTTTATGACGTCAGAAGCGAGAAAATGCATGCTAAAAATGCTTGCGAAATATGTTAAAATAAAAATATATCCATAAAGTAACACTTGCAATCGACTAAACAAATTTGTAAGATATTCCGTGCACTCCCCTTTTGCTTTAATAATCAATAATTTGTCGTAAATTAACGTGACATAAAATTCATCTTCTTAATTTATTTCTTTGCCTATTTTTATTTAGATTAATTTACAATAAATTATTGATTGTTACAACAAAAGAGGAATGCACGGAATATCTTACAAATTTGTTTAACCGACTGTTACTTTATGGACATATATTTTTATTTCAATGTATTTTGCAAGAATTTTTAGTATGCATTTTCTCACTTCTGACGTCATTAAAAAGAGATAGACAATACAAGGGGCCAGGAGCTTTAAAAAAAAAGAACGCGTCTCCACATTAGTATCCTTTGGATGATGTGAAAATCTATGTTATAATTTTAATATTATTAATATTAATAATATTAATATTATTAATATTATTTTATATATATTAATTTATTGCTAGCATATGAAAATATATATAAAGAAGTTGCTGGACCAGCAAATTATTTTTCTCCATGTAGACTCGCTGGGCGAATTAGAATGACAAAGGAAAATAAATAGACGTAACTTTCGAAAATCGCCTCAATTTGAGGATAATTCGGAATATTGATCTAAAAAGTATATCTGAACTTTGGTGTACAAAAAATATAAAAAGAGTTGTGTGATTTGTTATCTGAAGAGGTTATCAGACATAATGTTTTAACGATAGCCTTTACGTTATTGATATTTTTGGAGTTCATAATCCACTTTAGCATTCTCACTGATATATTTACCACATTTCACAAAATACTATTGAAAATCGCCAGCCCTGGACAAATTTTTGTAAAGGCAAAGGGACCCGGAAGTAATTGAAGGGTGACATTGATTATTCTTATAAAGAATCCCACGTAGATAGTTCCTCCGCTTTGGATGAGCTCGAAATATGTTGTAATCTAGACCAAAAGAGGAGACACGTATTTTTTTATACGTGTCCAGGCGGACTTTTAGGGGGCAAAATATCCCTTTGAAAAAAATCGGTTTTTTTTTCTTTAGAAGCATGTTTCGTCAAAAGTATAAGAGATAGGAAAAAATTTTCTAAACAAAAATTAAATGGTTTTAGGAGTACTTTGCAATGACAAAATCAGATACTTGAAAAATAAAATTATTGCCAACATACCCCCATCACTCAACAATTATTTTTATAATTTTAAAATTTTGTGTCTACCAAAAAAATATATTTTATGCCGAATCCAACTATATATAATAATATGATTTTCCGACATACGGACTTGTTGAAAAATAGATGGAAATATCCCCATATAACCGTATTACCATCCGTAGCCGCCTAACCCTACTCGATAATATACGCAACATGTACTCATCGAACTTCTTCATAATAATAAGCGATTAGCTGATATGCAGAATATATAATTAAAATACATTTCAATAAATAAGGACGATAATAATAATAATAATAGATGTATACACAACAATGTACTCATACAGGGTGTCCGGTAACTGATCGAGCAACCGCTGTGTACGAGTAGAACGGGTCAAAATAATTATAAAAGTTATATACCATTTTAAAATTGTCTTAATATTTATTCCGTAATTAATTAAAATGTATAAACGAATGAGCTCGATCAGTTACCGGACACCCTGTATATTCACATATATTGTTTATATAAAAGGATATACAGGGTGTCTGATAATTGTAACACAACTCCATAAGAGCGTAGAGCTAAGCGAGAAGATTAGAAAAGTCCTCTTCCATTTAGCGATAACGCGTCTAGTTTGTTAATAACAACCGCGTAAAGTTTGGCGTTTGTCACGCCCATCGCGGCTTATAGACGCTTCGCGGCGAACTGTGTGCGTCAAGTCTGAGCGGTAACGCGGCGCGTTCATCGCCGCCTCGCTGCGTGCCGACAGTCAAAGCGTCAAGACGCCATCGCCGCGGTCAGCGCGAGCCGCGTTACCGCTCAGCCTCGACGCACACAGCTCGCCGCGAAGCGTCTATAGGCCGCGATAGGCATAACAAACACCAAACTTTACGCGGTTGTTATTAACAAACTACACGCGTTATCGCTAAATAGAAGAGGACTTTTCTAATTCTCTCGTTTAGCTCTACGCCCCTATGGAGTTGGTGTGTTATAATTATCAGACACCTTGTATACGCACGCACGCTCGCACGCACGTACGCACGCACGCACGCACGCGCGCA